ATCTACATGTACTAGGGTTACTTACTGAGATCTTGGTACAGCAGAAAATGAAAAAATTTACTATATTCTTCATTTTCTGCTGCTTTGAGAAATCAAGTATTCATTGTTAGGCAAAATATTTCTGGAAAGTAAGCCTGAATTTGAAAGCTGCCTTCATAACTCACTTACAGCATGACTTTGAGAAAGTTATAACTTCTCTAAGCCCAGTTTCCTCATCTGGAAAATGGAGATCATAATAGAATTTATGTGAGAATGCATGTAAATGCACTGTATGTTGTACAGTGCTTGACACAAAGCAATCACTCAAATATTAGCTATTCTCAATATCATCATTAGCAAGAAAGGTGATGGCTTTAAAGCTATTGGAAAGTAAGCAGGCAGAAGACAGGTAACCTTCTGAAGTATGGAAAACCACCTTGGGTCTGAAGATAAAGCAAGGATAAGTTGTCAGTAGGTCAATCTATCAAACCTAAGAATGAGGTGGCTCCCAGTCTTCATGTGTGAGTCAGTTCATGTTAGTATCAGGAAGAAAACACAGACCAAAGGGCTAGAAAGGCCTTGTGAGATATGCAAAATACTCAAAGAAATGAATAAACTTTCTACAGTTTCTACTGTGCTTTCTTGCCCAGAGATATATTAGGACTTCAGTCTTCTCCCTCCACACAGCCTCAGTTCTTTCAGATCCCCAAGTTAGAGGTTCTTGTATGAGAACTACCTATGTCTGACACAAGTATTTTTCTTCAAAGAGAGGGTATAAATGGAGGGACCAGAACCTCACCCATACTGCATTTGGACCTATCACCTATTCCCTGGAGAGCCACATTGAAAATGAGAAATGAGTAGTTATCATCCTGGACCATCCTAGTGTCTCCAGATCCCAATTCTTAACATTTCTCTAATCCTTGTTGGTTTCCTCTGAAATCCAGAAGAAATTCTCTCCGACATCCCATCTCTGTGGCGAGCCCACTACTCTAGTACTCCCTTGCTTGCATGATGCCTTTCATGTGTCCTAGTAGATGGCAATTTTCAGGAGTTTGTTGGCTTTTGATTAAGAAAAAACTGTTGGTGGAAGAAAAACATAAAAAGAATTGACCTTTGTGGGGGTTTTTGCTGTCACTCAGGATGCCATAAAACACAACTCATTCCTATGCCCTGAAAAAAAACTTGAACAAGGAAACATTGAGGAAGCATTTGAAAAAGTCGATCAAGTTGTGGAAGGTAAGAGACTCAGGATATTTGATAGAATCTTTGCAGGATTCTATTCTGAAACAGATATTACGAGCATAAGATTTCCTCTCAGAAAGTCCATCCTCTAAAGTCTTGGTATTTTGCCAAATTTCTCTTTTAGTTCTTTTTTTCTAAAAGTGTGTGTGTGGGAGAGGGAGAGAGAAAGTATTTGGGGGTTGGAGGTAGGGCGCAACAGAATAAATAGAAGAAAAACTCCTAAGATTTTGATTAGTCAAGGGCAGAGTGAGGAACAGAACCAGACACTTTCAACTTGTTATCCAAAACTGTAGTCTCAAAACAGATTGCCCTCAGTCGCTACAAGACAAATGCCACATCCATCAGTTCCTTGGTCAGAACAAATCCAGACTGGCCATCCACATCTTACTTGCTTTTGAATTCCCCCAAATGGCAGTTTCCAACCAGCACACACCTTCAGGACTTTCCCTGTGCTTGTCCTTAACAGGAGAGGTCCATGTTGGAGGACAGGAACATTTTTACATGGAAACACAAAGAGTGCTTGTTATTCCAAAGACAGAGGACAAAGAACTGGACATTTATGTGTCAACACAGGATCCAGCCCACGTGCAGGTGAGGTCCAGAATTGCCCCACCTCTGCAACTTCCTATTTCCATCATGGCCTTCAATCCCCACAGCCTCACAGTCGGCAGTCATTTTACCTGCAGAAACTTAGAATTCAAGTACTGGACATCAATAAAGAGCTAAAACCCCAGAACCCATTTATTTTTTCCGGTCTTGTCAAGTAAATAAAAGGTCAGCCACAGCCACTTTAGATTGAGAGACTGCATTCATTGGCATCATGCTTAAATGATCTCTGTGATTGGATGACAACCCTAAGTTATGTCTGTACTTGATTTTTCTCTGAAATCATCATTACAGGTCACCTTTGGAGTAAACATGTCACTTTAGAGCACATTTTCATTTCCCTAGTCATGAAGTATTCCAGGTTTTAAAAGCTGCAAATAAATCTTCTTTTTTAGTAGGTTGTCAGGAGCTTGCTGGTTTTCACCTTGTTGGGACATTAGGTCTAGGCATTTGGCTAGGATTCCAGTTTCTGACAGGACTCCAGGATGCTGACAGTTTCCCTTCTGGAAAAATACCATTTTTCTGCTGGAAAGGCTGTCCTGTGACAATGACCCATATTTATGAACTCAATAGGGCTCCACAAGACACGTTCAGACTATCTTGGTTTTTTTTGTTGTTTTTTTTACTGACAGTAGATGTGGATGAATTTTGCTGTGATGTTGTGTTTCAGGAAACAAAAGCCTTCTTTGCCATTTCACTCTTGTAAAACTTTCCCAATATCTAACTTTTACAGAAAACAGTGTCCTCTACTTTAAACATCCCCATCAACAGGATCACCTGTCATGTAAAACGAGTGGGTGGAGGTTTTGGCGGGAAGGTAGGAAGACCAGCTATACTCGGGGCAATTGCAGCCGTAGGCGCTATCAAGTAAGTGTACTTACTTATACAGGAGGATGTGAAATGTACAGAGCTGATGGCAAATCAGTCACACACAGTCTCAGAGTCACTTGGGCTGCTGTCATAACCACCTGTGTGTCCTTGGGCAACTCAGCGTCCTGTCTCTTTTTCTTTATAATTGTAACTATAAAATACCCACACTCCTAGAGTTATTAGAAAAGTCATATAGAGATAGTACTTTGACTAGGCTTATTTGCTATAAAAAGGAAAAGTGGTATTATCTGTTGAATGCCTCCAGAGCTGAGACTGCTCTGTCCCTGAGCTACAGGAAAGGTGACCCATTTAGGGTTGGGGCAAGTCACTTGCCCAATGGAGTGCCAAGGAGGAGGCTACTCCTCCACTTTTCCTTCCTACTCTCAGCCGCAGACAGGATGGGGTGAGGAGAGAAAGGCTCCTCCCTCTGCCTCTCTGCCCCTGGGAAGGGCTGGCTCTTCAATGTGTGCTCAATGGATGGATGACACCCTCAAAGAGAGCTTTCCGGCTAACCTCAACCCAAAGGCTCGCTCCTTCGTTGTTCATGCTGGGCATGGTCCTGGCTTTTCTGTTCCTTGTTCATTTTCTGTGGCTGTTTCTTTGGTACTTTGTCAGAACCCCAATCAGCCTGCAAAGTTCTAAGGTCTTGCTTCCTTTGACAATTTCTGTGTAGTTCAGAGCTAGGTCCCAAGGCACTTAGATATGTGTCTCCAGTGAGAGGTAGGAAAAGACAGGATCTGAAGCCTATCTCCAGTTCTTTCCATAATGAACCTTTCTTTAATCACACACCCCCAGACACCCAGCAAGAGATAGTTTATATTTCCACCAGGCACTGTGGCTTTAAGACTTCTCAAACATGACTGCACATTAGAATCACCTGGGGAGCATTTACATCCAAGTACCTAGATGGCCTCATAGTGACCCAGTCATTGGTATACTTTCAAACTTCCCCAGTGGTTCTACTGTACAGCCAAGTGTGGGAATCTGTGTCTTAAACTACAACCCGCCATATCACACACCTGCCATGCATTAAGTGGTCCCCAGAGCAGTGTTCCCAAACTGCTGATAATAAGTCTTCTGGGCACATAGACATTCCTACCTTCACTGAATGAAAGTCACCGGGGGATAAGCCCAGAAACTGTACATTTAACTGATGCTCCCAGTGGTCCCCACCATTAAAGAAGACCAGGAAACCCAGTGCTAGAATTGTGGTTTTCAATGTATATCTGAAGACACCTGCATCAGAATTGCTGAGAAAAAAATGTAAATTCTATGGCCCATCCTCAACCTATTGAATTAAGAGTCCTAGTGCTAAGGCTCAGGAATCTGCATTTTTCACCAGCATTCCAGATGATTCTTCTGCAATCCAAAGTCTGGGAACATCTNTCCCCAACACTTCTCCTCCCCTAATGCCCCAACAAAAAATATTTTAAAAATAAATAAATAAAAATAAAATGACACCATGAAGGTGACATATGGAAAACAAGCTTGACATAGAACATAGCAGTTTCAGGTCACAGCCAGTCTCATATCCACTTTCATGGAATAAAATGGTCAATTAAACTTTCCGTGTTGTTTAAATTATTAAATTAAAATTTAGAAAAACTATTTTAGCCGAGCACATGCAGTTGAATGTGACTCCAGTGTGGTTATCAGTGCTCAACAATGATAAATGCCACTGGTAAGACACCAGCCCCTGGGAAGGCTGAGCTAAGCCTACTCCTATCCAGAATTTTCCACCTGCTTCATGCATGTACTCTCCGCAGGTACTCTGCGTGGGCCAGATCATCTGTGCTGTGGTTGCAGAGACAGATGTACAGGCGAAGCGAGCGATTGAAAAGGTAAAAGTCAACTATGAAGATCTGGAGCCCGTAATCTTCACCGTGGAGGTAAGCAGAGCTACCCAGTCTGTCCTTTAAGTTTGTAGAACTAAAAGTACTTTTGTAATGTAAATATCTTAATGCAAGACTAATTCAGGGCTCTAATTTATTTCTTGTCACTGGCTTGCTCTGAAAAAAAGCCACTTTCTCTGGGAGATATTGCTTTTATGAACTAAAATTAGCTTTGGCTGCAAGAAACAGGAAAAAAAATGATATAAATTTCTTTCTCTCTTACATTCAAAAGTTTTAGACATGGTCACTACAGAGCTTATGTGGGGTTCTATGTGTCAGGGGTCTGGATTACTTATATCTAGTTTCTCATCATGTATGGTTCCCATTCTCCAGCTCATGCTTTGGCCCACAATAGCTACTAAAGCTCTGGCCATTAAGTCCGCATTCCAGACAGTGGAGACAATGAGGTGATGAAGAAGGGCATATCCTTCCTGTTAAGGGCACTCCCAGAAGTTGCACATACCTTTTTACAGCTCATTGGTTAGAACCTAGTCACATGCCATACCTACAGAGGAGCTGGGAAACATAGATTTTATTCCAGGGGGCCAGGTATCCACTAAAAATCAGGGACTCTATTACTTAAGGAAGATGATAAGACTGAATATTGGGAACAATCATGTTTTCAAGGTGGAGCTCAAAAGCAGTGGGACTGTCATGATGCAATTCACACAAATTTCACTCATTTCTGGATCCAGATAACGGAATGCAAAAACTATTTTCAGAAAAAATAATGAAGTTAGAATAGAAAAGTCCAATGTGGACTGGGGTTTGCAGGTTCTAACTCAATGGAGGACAAGTTCAGAGTAATGGAGTTTGGAAAGGCTTACTTACTTGTGTACTTGTGACAGAAAATAAAATTTTTCAAAGGCCTTAGTGAACCATTTGAACATTTTTTAAATGTGTCTAAAAGGTAAAACTTGCTCAATATTCAAAGTGTTTAAAAGGCCATGTTTCTTGATCTTTCTAAACCAAATCAACTCTGATTCTAATTCCCATTTTGCCGAGTTTGCAAGTAGTCCAAGCCATTTTTCTTGGCTCACTCGCCTTCCTAGAGTTGTACTAGAATCCTAATATGGGTTTTGAAATTTTCAATTCTAACCCCATTTCCTCAAGCGGGAAATGGCACACCCAGAAGACACACCCCGTGAAATATCCTGGGACTCAGAATGGTTAGAGATCTAGAATTCCCACAGAATTGGACTGTCCAGAGTCAGCAAAAAGATTCTTTTGTGAACAAGTCAGGGAAAAAAAGTCATATATAGCAATACTTATTCATCCATTCATTTATTCATTTATGTGACTATACATATATGAGAGGCAGTGTAGGGTAGAGATTAAAAGTACAGGCTCTAGAACCAAGCTGCCAGGTTTGAATCCTGGTCACACCAATTACTAACTGTGTGACCTTAGACAAGTTACTTGACTTCTCTGTGCCACTGTTTCCTCATCTGTAAAATAGGGGTAATGATAATAATACCTACCTAATCAGGTTATCCTAAGACTAAATGAGTTAATATATGTAAAGCACTTAGAATAGTGCATGGCACATATTTAGTGCTCAGTAAATATAGCATATATTATAATAAGATTATATTATTTTATGACACATTACAGTATG